CTACGTAATGCTATGGATCCATGGACATTCATAAGTACTTCAACCACTGTTATAAGTACTTTAATAGCGGTTGAAGTACTTGTAAATGTCTATGTATATCTCATTTTATGAAAAAAATACATTTTTGCCGTACAGTAAAAACTTTAGATGATTCAGTATGCATTTCACAGATTTCATTGAAACAACCATAAACTATGTCAAAAATTCATGAACTGCATGGATGGAAATTTATATATTATCAAAATCTTACAGAATTATTGTTGTTTTAATGACAAAAATCCCTGTAATTCTTTTTTTAATGTATGATAAATACTTTTTTTAGCCTTATGTGACTCACTCGTATTCGCTCCGTGCATCAGGTTGGAGGGGATAAAAAAAACGACTGCAGCGCTGTAGGTGAGCAAAGTTGGCGAACCCGTACCCCCATAAATCGTACAGTAAGCGTTGTCTCATATGAGAAAAGATATTATTTCATTTAAAGTAATTAGTTGAGGAATGGAAGGCGGAAAAAAAATGTTATTTAGCCAAACCGGGTCTATAATACGGATAAATAATTTTGCTAGGCACTTCAAATCGCCCAAAATTTTAAATAATGGGTTAACCAATATCATCTGTCATATAGTACACAACACACATACTTATCTGTAATGTTGTATACGATAGAGCAAAAACTCCAAGCAGTCGACATAGGCTGCCGCTAGCTGTAAGTATAATCTGAATCAGTGTTTACGTTTACAAAGTAACGAAATGCGTACGAGACAGTGCTGCGTTGTTAATTGCAACAAGAAAGAAAAGCAGGGGGTGGTGCTGCATAAATTCCCAAGTAGACCCCATGAAACAAAACAGAAGGAGCTGTGGATTAGGGCTGTTAGGAGACAAAAGTTCGTACCTAACCGACGGAAATTTTTTTATTATTATTATTGATTATAAGTAAAATTATCATGAAAATTTTACAGTCCTGATGGCAGTTTGTGGCAGCCTTCATAAAAGGATGTAATTTGTAGCTCTCACTTTATTGGCAATGCAAAATCAAACATTGAAAAAAGTCCCAGTTATGTTCCAACTATTTTTCCCGATATTTACGGAAAAATGAAAATAGATAGTGATGCAGCCGTTGGGCGGTAATATTACTTTTTATTTCATTAGACTATATATGTCTTATATACTAACTAATAGTTTAATAGTTAATACTTAGATTCCAAAGATTTATGAAACGGCGACGCACAAGTATAGTAAATACTAAAGGTAGCGGTGGACCGAATGTAAGTCTTGATCGAGGTCTTGATACTATTGATATTGATGAGCCTAATGAAAGTAGTCATTTAGGCATGGATACTGTAGTACCAATCAGTTTTGATTCCCAATATTGTCAAGTGGACTTCCTACCAGACATCAGTATTACAGAAAACACATTTGTTTGTAATAGACTAGTGCAAGATAATATATGTCACGCTGAAACTCAGACAGAGTTGTGTGTCCTTAAGCCGAAAATTTATTTAAGTGAAAAGAAGAAGTGTAATAAAAAGACCAACACACCAGTAAAAGAGTTTATCGATAACAGTGTAAGTTGTAATTTCGATGGCGACACTAAAACTGGATTTGTGGGAGTAGAAACAATTAAAAGCAATCAAGAAATGATTGATTTTGCAGGTTTGTCGTTAAATACTTTTAACCTATTTGTTGACAAACTATCTCCTACGGTTGAGCATTGCAAGGTATCGAAACAAAACAGAGTGCTCATTTTTTTCACTAAATTAAAAACTGGCCTGTCGTACTCAGCATTAGCTGTAATATTTCAAGTTCATCGAACTACCATCTCAAAAATTTTTAGAGAAACACTATTGCATGTTTCCTCAGCCCTTCGGAATTCTATCAAGTGGCTAGACAAGGACACTGTGCTCGGTATGACTCCAGACTGTTTTAAGCCAAAATATGAAAACGTGAGGGTCATCATCGATTGCACTGAATTTCCAATTGAAGTTCCATCGAGAGTCAATCATCGTGTTTTCACTTACTCTCATTATAAAAAGGGCTTTACTGCAAAAGTTCTCATTGGGTGCTCGCCAAGTGGTCTCATCACATTTGTATCCCCATGTGCTGGAGGGAGAAAGAGTGATTCCCAAATCACTTTGGAAAGTGGATTATTAAATCTTCTGGAGGATGGAGATGAAGTTCTCGCAGACAAGGGCTTTCCCGAAATAAGGACAAGAATTGCAGAGAGTGAAAAAAGTGTTTTTGTTGTGATGCCATTTTTTTTATCTAGCCATGAATTTACCCAAAAAGAAACAGAAGAAACTCGCAGCATAGCAAACGTACGGATTCACATAGAGAGAATCATGCAGCGGATAAAGGTGTTTAACATACTAAATAAAATACCTACAAATTTATTCAAGTATATTGATAACATCATGCATGTTTGCTGTATTACTTGTTAATCCTATAATAGCATCTCATATAGATTAAAGTTATTTTATGAATTGTTAATAATTTACTAACCCATGAAGGATTTTAATGATCCATCAAACATTTTAATAAAACGACTTTTATAACAATGACCAAATTATTTATTTGACATATTTATACCTACACAATATCTATGCTACACATAAATCACGTACATTGTCACACAAAGAATAAGTAATCTTTACATTTTTGTCGTACTTTTAGCTTTGGCGTGCATCAGGTACACGTTATTTCCTAACACAGTCTTTAAATTAATTTTCTCTAGTTTTTACTGTGACCCAGCTAAACTGAGTCCTTACCTGTGAATGTCAGAATATAGTACACAACTCACATGTTAAATAAGTTATTTGTAACATTTTTTTCTAATCAACAATTTTTGAAATTTTTCATGTTTACTCCATTAAAAGGCCTAATTTTTTTGCATACTCCAAATTGTTTTTGACTTCAATACTTATGAACAGCTGGTAAATAATTTTTAAGGTAAAATCCTTCACAAACAGGAACCACTTCGCTTAAAAATTTTTCATCTCTGGTAATATTCACACAAACTGAGCCCATCGATGAGAATACATACAGATCACATGAACAAAGCCCTGTTACATAAAGCTGAATTTGGCCCCGAGTATAGTAAATGGAATTTCTATTCACTTCTATATTTCCTTTGTAAAATACTAAATAACTCACGTTACATGATTGACTAGTTACATCAACTATGCACTTTTTTTCACAAGAAAAAGGACACTTGACTTCCACAATTTTTGAAATACAACCGTCCTTAGTTACTACACCATCAACACTGGCACACAACCATGGTTGGCTCTCACAAACCAGCAATCCCAGATGTTTTATATCAACTTGGAAGGATCTTTCGTATTCAGTTATTGCAGATTTTTCATTAGCCTTGCCATATTTTATGACAGGTGCCGTCAAAGATCCACGTGATGTTGTTATCATGTCTTGTACAAGAGACTCTTGTGTTTTTTTTTTTTTCAAATATTTTATTTTGTGGACATCAGCACTAGCGGTTATTCTAATTTTCCTTGCCTCGAACCAACTTGGGCATTGCGATTGAGCTACAGTTTCTTTACACAACAATTTAATTTCATTTTTTGACATAACAATGTTATTTTCATAAAACGTAAGTAAATCTTTTGAAATATTACAATTTCCATTTGTATATACTTGTTGCTCTTCTTGAAATATAAAAAAATTATCCAGACAAACATCTATAATATTATGTTCTATTGAAGTAAATACTATTTTTATCACAAAATTAATAATAGACATCATAAAATGTTTAGTTTTGTCTTTTTTCATTTCAAGCAAGCTTAATTTCATGATAGAATTATCTTTTAAATCTTCAAGAGTAAAACAGACTTCATCAACATCAGATGTTTGCTGGGGAGGGGGGAACATTTCCTTAATAAAAACATCCCTTGGAGTATTTTTCACTCCCAAGTTGCTTTGGAGTGGGTTTTCCCCAAATTTGCTCAAAATCAGTTTTACTCAGGCTACCACTTGTATTGATAAAATGGATCAGTGTTGCGATGTGCTTACACTTTTGGCTCTGATTAGCTACACATTCGCAGCTCACGTCGGAGATACAGCGGTCTTCGTTAATCTGATAAATAAATTACACATTTGTGTATATGTTACCATAACCTACATTTGTCAAGCATAGGCAATAATGTACTTACAGATAATTCTACTTTGTATGGATTTAAGCTGACAGATGTTTGTCTCACAACATAGCAATTGATCAGGTGACCGACTCCTTTATTTACATATTCCTGTACGTAGGAAACGTGCCCACTCTCTACTAATTTTTAGCTTTTTTCAGCGTTTCATTATTAAAAACTATGTTGCAACTTATACTTTTAAAGCCTGTTTGGATAATCATATCCATTTTTTAGGGTGCTGATGTTTACGCGATAGCAGTATGTACGTCTTATTCAATAAATAATACTTTTTCCTATAAGCGACATTGTTACGATTTAATCATACGGGGGTACGGTATTGCGCGATTCTGACACCGAGGGCGGCGCTGCGTGTCATGCTCGGAGCGAATAAAGTAAAAAATATTCTCAAATCAGAATAGTATATTACAATCCAAGGCCGGAAAAAGAAAGAAAGATTCAGATCATCCGAGTAGGTATTATTGTCAGAGGTGGAGCTAAGGAAGACAAACGGATAATTTAAGGCTTCTTTACTTTCAGCCATTGACTATAAATGATTTTTTGCGTCCCTACGGCTATAAAAAGAACAATGATCGCTATTTCAATATATTTATAATTATGATCTTTCTAATAACCCTACTTTTTAAAAGTTATTGTTGACATACATTAAAATCCATCTAAAAAACTTTTTGTGTATATATATATACATATTATCTTCTTTATATTATTATATGAATAAAAAATCTTCCAACAAAAAATTTAAAATTAATTACATTCTTACAACCAGTTTTAATTTGATAAGCAGTTTATTTTTTTTTAACTATTCGTTGAATGCATTGACAAATGAAAAAAAAATTTCAGGTCAACGAATTTTTCCGGAAATTTGATACCAGAAATGTTAGATCAATAACAAAGAAGGAATTTCACCGTGGACTAGATCAATTAAAGTGTGAGCTAACAGTTTCGGAAGTTAATACCCTTATGGATAACTACACCGTGGCTAACAGGTAGACATTCATCAATTGTAACAAATAAATTTGACTTTAAAATCTTTATCTCACACTCAGTCAAAAATATGGTGATCGATTAAAAAACATTCTTTTCATTAAATTCACGCTTAGTCCTGAAAAAGTTGATTACTGGAAATTCACTGACGAAGTTGAGGGGGCCATGGCACAAGGATATATGGAAAAGTCTCCTTTGGTCAGTCCAGTTCAGCATGTACCATCTGAATCAACCCCCCGTTCTTTTCTTAATTTTGACGAGCGACGCATTCTCATACGAGTGCTCGACTTACTTGCTTCTAACAGCGGAAACTTGGAAGACACTTTTAAGGTACAACCAAAACATCTTCATCTGCGCTTAATTTTTGTTCAGTATGTTTTGTCCTTGGATATATATATATATATATACTGAGTTGCATCCACTTGTTTTTTCAAACAAAATTTCTTTAACTTTTTTGTACTGTTACGTATGTTTTTTTTTAAATACCAATATTAAAGTTTACTGTAATAGATATTTAATTTAATTAAATAACGTTTTCTTTAACTTCAAGTCTTACACATTATATATACAACTTTTTTCTGATTAACTGGATTTTTTTAAACTAAAAGAAAGTTCTTAACAAAATTATCAATTAATTCAATTGATTAAACAATTTTTTCTGCACCAAAGAATTTAGTAGCTCAGTAAACTTCAAACTTACTAGAAGGCCCACTCACCGCATGCTTGATGTGACAAACTTCATGTAAATATAAATTTTTATGAAATTCCTTAAAAAGTAAATCACACGACGTTTATAGTATTTATTCCCGTATTATAAAATCAGTTTATGCTAAGTTGAAAATGAAATTTTACTTTTACTTTTACATAACTAATACTAATAACCTCCTCCCTGGTAGAAACGATACTGCATAAACTGGATAGAAACTCGTCAACATGTTCTAAGCCCATTGACGCACCTACGTTGACGAGTTTCTAGCCAGTTATTGTAGAGTAATTTTCTACCAGGGCTTATAAGTATAATACTGTGAACTTTCGAAACGTATGCGCTTTTACTTTTTTTATAACGCTGCAATACCACCAAATCCCCTTCTGCGATAATCAACAATGATAATTATATCTACAAAATTGCTTGTTACTACTAATCTTACGGACAACTACTCAATATTTTTACAACTAAAAAGTTGTGTTAAGATGGCTTATGCGTAACTCTGAAGTGCCTGTTAAAAATTAAGCATTAGAAACGTACACTACAGTACGCTTGAAATATAAAATAACTATAAAAAAAATCAATTTGAGATTTTGATACACTGAAATAAACATGTTAATGCCTCAAAATGATTTACAAGTGCCTTGTTAGTTATAATTCAACTAGCATAGTACATCCTAGTTAAATCAGCTTATTCAATAAGAATTACTTGGTCTGTACACTTTTTTTTATCACCAATGGATCACAACTTGATAGTCATCTTGGATCTCCGGCAGTAGTCCCCCGATCAGAAAGCTTAAGAGGGTGATAGGTAGGGCCTACCTTGGCGGCCGACTTACCTTACCTTTGGCCAATCTTGGCATAAATGGGACTATAACATTAGACTTTTACGCGGCATTAGGTTGGCCCTACCTTGGTTGCCCAGTTAACCTATAAGTGTGGCTAACTTAGGGAATGAATCATGTTTTGAAGAAAAAAAGTGCACTGTGATTTAAATAATCTAAAGTACTTTTATTGTATTTTTTTAGTTTAAGTACTATCACATCACAGACTTTTGTAATAAATAATAGACTCATATGTAATACAATTCTAGATTTTGATTTACTTATTAATTGCAATTAAATTATTTAGTTCTTGGCTTTTTTCAAAAATAATATTTTTTCACTCTTTGGTTTGTTAAGCAAGTTGACTGCATTTGGAGAAGAATGCGAGAGAGAGGGAGAGAGGTCAGACTGTGCCTTTTTTAGTTTTGAAATGCGTGCGCATATCCCGTAATTTAATATTGAGTTGTATTTACATTCCAGATTATTCATTAATAACTATTTTTAAAAGAACTTAATCAACGTGTTTGTTTTGCATGATAAAAAAGCAGATGTTAATTTACTGTTGACTACAGTTTTGTCCAAATCTGCCTGTTGATTGTATTAAAATTTGTAATCGTAAGAGCCGCTTTTGACTATCTCCCATAAGAACGCATGTAAAATTCACAAAATAATTTCATAAATTTTTCGTTTCATCCGCACCCAGAATTGTTAAAACTTTGCATAAATTTTTTTCATAAATTATTGAAGTTCTGCTCAAATTCTAGTTCAAAAATGACTGTCAATTGCTTATGGTAGTCAACCTACTTCAGTATATAGAGCATTTTAGTTTCATACTCATTTTCAATAATTTATCACCACAATTAACTTTTACACGTTTTTATAAATACACTGTTCCGAAATATTTGTTCGCAGTTTCATAATGTCAGAAAAGGTTAGCTAGAAGATAGAATATAACCTTGGCCCAAGGCAGTGTCACGCTTTCACCGTGTGAAGGACACAGGTAGGCTCTACCTTGGTAGCCAACCTTGGGTCTCCCTAACTAACGGGGTACCCCAGTTAACATTCCGATCTTGGACAATCATCACCTTAGGGTGGGTTTAGTCAGAGTCTGCCAGACTGCAGAGTGCCAGACACCGTCTCAACCCACCCTAAATCTCATCGTAATAAAATAGTTTTGAAATTTAAAACTCACGCTCAAATCTGATGGTTTGATGTACTGAGCACCGTGTACTTAATATCATAGATTTTTCAAGCCACTTTTGGTTCCGTTCAGTTCTCTTAACAAAATATAACTATATATAGGGAGCCAAACAGAACTGGTTCTGTGTATATAGGTATACTTTGTTGAGAGAACCAAACCTAACCAAAAGGGGCTTGAAAGAACCTCATGAGGCTCTGAGGGAGTAGGTGGCTCCACACCCACCTTGTTTACCGACTGCATTTTACGTGCACTGGTGCACGTCATGAGGCCAAGTGCTTTGCTGGATTTCATAACCTCCAAACATTTGATTCTCTTGTAAAATAACTTTTCTTTATGTGAAGATAAATGTTTTAAGGTACTATTTGGAATTTGAAAGTTACGTATACCACTAACATTGATTAAGTTTTTAATATCTGTGGCTTGTATGTAGAAAAAGATACGGTACTTTTTCTGCTGTAAACCTTTAATATTTCTAGAACAGTATAATACGTTGCAACTTGATTTTCGAACGGCTATTTCTCAAGATTTCCTACATAAAACTCACTACTTATTTTATTAACCTTATTGTGAGTTCATTAATACCTATAAACAATCCTTCAAAATTTAATTTAATTTTTTTGTTTTTTGATGTACACATAAGCCACCTTAATACCCAAAATTAAAATAAACAATTTTGTTAAAGTATAATTTCAAATAATAAACTTTCAAATAAATACTGACCTTACTTTGCAATGCCAATACTACATTGGGTATTTTTCATAAAAAATCGTTGTCACGTTTATTTCGACGCCTCGTAGGAAGGCCAGCACAGTTCAGATTTTTCCATTTAAAATAACATTGAAAAATCTGAACTGTGCTGGGCTTCCAACGAGGCGTCGATATATCTTTATATCAGTGACAAGATTTATTTAGAGTAATCTCTTATTTTTGTTGTTGAATTTACAATTAAGATTGAATGAAATGAGAAAAATTTTTGATCTGTTAGTTAAATTAAAATTAAGATTGCCCGTTTTAAAAAGGCTTATCATTAGAATTTCTTAAATAACAGTTAACATGATTAATCAACGTTTAGAAGTTGGTCCATAGAGTGTGCAAGGGGTGCTGTCCTCTAGGTTTTTGTATGTTGAATTTACAAATGCAGTATAACATTCTGATTTCACATCAAGATAATTATTTTTATAAGCTCATATTTATGTGAGTGTTTGTGATTGATCAAACTGGAACACAAAATAAAGATGATAAAATGTTTTTTAACTAACATACTTATTGATATTTTAAAATGTTTGTAGATATCAAATATATATTGTTTGATTAGTCATGACTGCAAATAGAAATATATCAATATTTCTAATTTATCTGTTGTAAAATAAAAAAAACATACCAAATTGACTTTTTTAAACAAGAGGATGTTTTAGAATAAGCACATTTACAAATAAGGGATGAATGTGGCAATGGTGTCAGTACCAATAATATATTTTATTAACAGGATTTTGATAAAAAATTACACACTGGAGCTGTATCGAAAAACCAATTAATGAGAGCTTTGAGTATGAATAAGCTTCTCACAGCCATTAGCGTGAAAGAGACCGACATTTTATTCAAATGCTTCACGGTGGGCCATATGGAAACAGATCCAAAATTCGATTACATTTCTTTGATAAGCGTCTTGAATGTTTTACGGGAGAATCGAAGTGTTTAATTAAATTTTGGTAAAAAAATTCAAATCTAGAAATTTGTAAAGTGTTTGAAAACCATGTGTTGGAACTTTGGACGAGTAAATAAAAAAATTTTGTAAGGATTCATATTTTTAAAGAATTATTTTCTGTTTACCAATAATATCTTTCTCTTTTCAATACAATGCATAACTTCCGCTTCCGAGGTAAAAATTTTTACATTCGTTTCTATAGCATATATTTACTTCTGAGGCATGCTATCAAATAAGATTTAAAAGTTTTCCAGATGGAAAGACTAAATTTGTTTAAACTAGTTTATTTCAAATGTATTGCATATATTTTTGTCACAAAAAATGTTAATAAAAATTTTTGTTAATCATTTGAAACATAAACAGTTTCTCTCACTTTTTTATAAAGTTAACTATTTTTAAATTATAAATATATTTGGCGTTGCAAGAAATAAAAAATTGATCTATCGAAGATTAAATTAAGTATGAAAAAGCAAACTTTTTTAATCAACTAAAATTTTTATATGTGATGTGAACATCCGTTAAGAATATTTTGAAAAGACTACTTAGTACATATTGATTTTTCGTTCTAAGGCCCTAATTTTTAATTAATATTATACATTTTTAGCTAGGCATGCACTCTTAATCAGTCACATGTGCTTGGATTACTTCAGAATCTTTTGCATCTTTAAGTTAAGAGTATATTTTATTGAAACAATATTTTTCAACTAAAAAATTTTTCTTTATTAATTTTAATTTATTTTTAGTTATTTAGTAACTCACAACAAAAAAGGCTTTTTGAAGTTTTTTCGTACAGTTGACCAGGAAACACTTAAAAATTAAAAAATAATGTAAAATGTCCATTGTACAAGTAATAACATTTCTAGTTAACCTGTTTGTAGTTGTAGCCTGAATGAATGCAAAGTATACTTAATTAAGTTTTNTATCTTACTAATATATAAAGCAAAGTCGCTAAAACCGTTGTAATCACTAACCGCGAAAACTACTGAACCGCTTTTGCTGAAATTTTATTTTATATAAAAGTATTGTGAAACATAGCTAAAGTTATTGCGTTCCATTATTAATTGATTCATTTATTTGTATCTTGGGTAGCAATAAAATTTTACCAACATTCATAATTTAATGAATATTATATTTACAATGATTGAGAATAAATTAAATTGCTTTGTAAAACGTATATTAGTAGAATATATGATGTGTACAATACAAAGTATCAAAAACACAAAATAAATTAGAAAATAATTAGTTCTGACTGAAAATGGCGATATTTTACTTGTTTGTCGTTTGAAAAGAGTTAAGTAGACAAAAAGTTGGATTTTGTTTCAGATTATGAAATGTAAAAGTAATTTTTGCGATTTATTAAGAAAAAAAATTGGTTTAAGATTTTTGAATTAGCTCTTCATCTGGAAAACTCCCGATTCCAATCCCCGATAATGAATATGCAAAAAAATGAATCCAAAAATTTTTTTACGGATGCAAGGATGTCGTCGTGTCTATTTATCCAGACAAAGCTGTGTGGAGAATAATGGATACATTAAAATGGGTGAAAATAGGGTAAAATGAAGATTTTATAACTTTTACTGTTAAGTAAGTATATATTAGAATATATTAACAGTCAGATCAGGTGAGGACACCACAGGGGCACGCATTAAATAAACGTCTGTTCATGTATATTTTTTTGATAACTGTAGTGAAATGTGAAGAAAGAGGAAAAAGTAATTATAAAAATTTATTCGTGTTTAGTGGAACACCGTACACGAATAGAACGTCTCTAATACTGTGAAATCATCACGCTAACAGTAGCTATAATAACATTTTTAATGAATTTTTTTTTTAACTAAGCGCGTTTACCCTGTGAAACCCCTCCTATGCAATCTAAGTATCTACACTCTATATTTGTAAAAAGTGTTAATCATTTATTTTACTTCCTATTCCGTTGAGTTTGTAAGCAATTTCAATTCTTTAGTTTTATTTATGTCGATACTTTATTTGATAATACATGTATGAAAAATAACTTTTTAGATACAATACTGGAATTGCTACGGTGTATGATCATTCTAAGTATCTTGTTAAAATGCATTTAATCAACGCAATTTTCTTCGTTGATTCTTCAACAGTTTTTTAAATGATAAAGAGTACAAAGTTAACTTGTATTGCTTCTTTTAATCTGATCACAGCAATAATTTATTTTTTAAATAAAGTTGTAGTAACTATAATAAATTGTTTCATGTCCCATGAATTAGAAAAATCAAACTATCCGTATGTGAAAACTTAGCTACATTTCATGTTCATAGAAAAAGAGTTCATTTATTCAAATTCTGGTTGGCATGGAATAAAAGATGCATTTTACCATTGAGATCATTCACGGAAGGCTTACGATAAAACATATTTATATTTATAAGAAAGACTTCGCATTAGCCTTTTCGTCGTGTTAATAACTCATAATCAGAGAGCACTTTAATATAGTGGGGAGATGTAGAGTCTCCTCAAAAATAAAGTGTGGGTATAATGCGGGCTCCATAAGATCAGTAAGTAGGGGTCGGTGAGGAGTTTTGCAATTTTTTCTGGACGAAAGGAATTGCCTTTGACTTACTTATTTGATGAGAGGGACGGACTGTCAAGAAATATTTGGAGAATCGATTGGAGGAAAGTGTAGACAGATGCACTAAAAAAAGATTTGAAAGAGTCAATAACTAAAAATTTTAGGTTGCTTATCAAATTCCACCAGGAATAAAACTAGCCATGGATCAGCGATAATAGAAAAAACAATAAAAAGTTCGTATCTTTAAAAAAAATGCACATTACTTTCGTAGATATACTGATTAGATACTTACATGTAGAAAGTATAAAAGTTGAAAATATCAGACATAAATTATTTATTTCTAAGGACTTTAAGTTTTGGAAATTTTTTATTCTTACCATGAATTCTACATAAAAAACAACTTCCATTCGTTTTTTCCACGATTATAAAAAAATCGCAAGAGAAAAGTTTTAATACAGTTTTCTTGTAACACAAAAACGAATTTAGTTGCCCAACATATACAAGCGTTTGTTTTTCTTTAAAGATGGAAATCCCGTTAAATTTACGTTTAAAAGAAATCGAGTGAAGCATCAAAACTAACGAACCTCGTCTTTCCATAGATGACTTTTCTTTTTACTAATATATAAAGCAAAGTCGCTAAAACCGTTGTAATCGCTAACCGCGAAAACTACTGAACCGCTTTTGCTGAAATTTTGCACACTGATTCATGGCACTTCTTAGATGGTTTTAGTATGGTTTTTATCTTTAAAAATTTAATAACAATAGCAATAAATAAGCTCAAAGTTTTGCAAAAATACGCCAGCTTTTCACTTTAGTTCAGTAGGATTTGCTAGGTGGCGTCGGCATAAAATCGAAGCTACCAGCTACCTGCTAACCTGCAACAGAATTGAATAAGTGTGGTTTTAACAGGCCGGAGCGTCGCGGAAATTCATGCAATCGTCTACTGGCAATTCATCGAGCTGCATCGAGGATGTAGATGATCGTCGTGCAACTGGGTATCCCGGTTACCGATGACGCTCTTCTCCAACGAGTAAGTAATGTAGGCCTACTATCCTGAACCTCCAGGATTGACGAGTGCCACCCATAAAAAATGTAGTATAACCGAAGACGTCTCCGGCGGAATACCCGGACACGTGTCTAGCCAGAGCATATCCTGCTCTAACCCTTCTGAGTTATATGACTATACCACAATCTGGCCTGGTGCCGTCAGAGAATTTTAAACTACAAATGTAAGCCAGGGAAAACAGCCCTGTGGGGCATGGGTAGCCATAACGGCTTCCTTCTCAGTGGTCGTGTCCTCAACGGCACCCCCACATTTTCCCGACTAACGATGAGCGGTTGGTGATCCGGGGAACAACCCGAAGACGAAATATTTTTTGATCAGCGGCGTACGTCCCTCATGCACGGTCTCCGTCCACAGAGACTCCAAGGGTAAGAGTCAAGCTAACCACAGCTGGCTCTCCATCATCAAGAATAATAATAAGGAATGACTGGAAATTTTATCACTGGCCCTTTTCAGGGCCAATGTAAGCATTTACGTTCCCTACTTACCCATCAATCTCATCGGTTCTTACAGGAGCCACCTAAGTTTGAACTAACTTGCCAACAAATACATTTTTACTACCATTTGCGGAAGCGATTCGTCGACTAAAAGGCTACATGTTAACTAAATACGGCCATTATTAAACCAAGACAGTCATTCACTGGCAGTCGTCACGAGCGGAGTTGTTCGTCGCAAGGCTGTGAACCCCGGTGACCAACGACCCTATGTTACCTTCTCGACTCTAAGCATTCAACCAGGAATTACCGATCCTCTTCAAGGTCTGCTTTAGGCAAACTTAGCAGCTATGAAGGGAAAAAAAACTTAAGCTAACGGGACAGTCTCCAACGGGCAAGTGTCACAAACCAATCTCTCCACCTTAAATCACCAAAACAACTGAGTCTGCAAAAAAAAAGGTGCTTTAGACACGAACGTCTTCGGCATTATACCAGGAGACGTTGGTAAAGATCTCTACAACTAGCTCCAAAGCTTCGAACTTTGTAATTTTTCTCCCGATCAATCTGGGTCTTTAACAGCAGGCCAGAGGAGATCACGCTGAGGTATCCAGGCAGTCACAATTGCTGTAAACTTTAGTCAGGAAAGAGTTTACTTAAGAAGCCCACCGGTCTTTTTCAGGGTAATCGGACGTCGAACTACCTTGCCAACGAATATATTAGAACGTAACAAAGTGACAGAAAATAGCCTTTAAGGGTCACAAAAGTCGCAAAAGGGTGAATTGGAAGGAAAACTTCAAATGTATCTAATGAATACAATTTTAGGCGTCAAGAAACTGACGCAGAATATTTATCAAGATTGAAACAGCAGCGTCAAAATCGACAAATAAAGAATCCATTACGTGAGAGATCAGCTTTTCATTTTACCCTCAAAGTAATCTCTTAAATCTATGAAGATCTA